ATATACAAAGTTGATTGGGGTTCCGCATGTGGTGATTATACAGCAGATGTTTTTGCTGCTGTGCTGGACAGTTTCTAATCATATTGACTGAACCCTACTTTAAAAGCCTCTACATTTATGACTTCAACTTTTTTGTAAGCTGAAGAATCTAACCGAGTGCACACATAGGCCACTTGTAAATCAGCACAGAAGTGTGGATATGTTAATGTCCTGAAGGTAATCCTTGCCTAATGGGGACAAGAGAGTCAGTGGACAATTGCTCCATTTCTCATTCATTCCATGGAAGACATCTTATGTGCCTTCTCCACAGATATTCATAAGGTTCTCCTTGAATGCCTAGTTACCTACTGCAGTGTAAAAAATTACCCCCAAAATCTAATGGCTGGAAACAACAAACATTTACAGATGCTCCTAAGCTTACAATGGGGTTACATCCTGACAAACCCATTACATTAAAAATATCATAAGTCAAAAATGCACTTAACACACTGAACCTACTGAATATCATAATTTAGGTTAGCCTATTTTTTAAAATTTATCTTTGTTGTTGAAAGTATTACAAATGTCCCCCCTTTTTTCTCTTAAATGTTCTCAGAACACTTACATTAGCCTACAGTTGGACAATTATCTTGAGTTTTATCACAAGAGTAATTACCTTCCTCTTTTCCTCCTCACTGGAAGCAAAGACCCAGATGGGCATTCTGCAGACAAGATGGGATGCGAGAACAAAGCGCAGTACCCCAAACCTCTGGCAACACAGTGCGCTGTGCAGTGTCGGTTGTTTACCCTTGTGAGAGTGGGTCTGACTGCAGCTTGCTACTGCTGTCTAGCATCGCAAGAGGGTATCTTACACATATCATTAGCCCAAGGAAAGATCAAAATTCAAAATTTGAAGTACAGTTTCTGCTAAATGTGTACTGCTTTGGCACCATTGTAAAGTTGAAAATCATTAAGCTGAACCATACAAGTTGGGGACCAAGACGTCTGTATTTCAGTTTCTGTAGTTTGTGAGTCCCAGAGTGGCTTATCTGGGTGGTTCTGGCTCAGGATCTTTTATTAGGTTGCAATCAAGAGTCAACTGCGTTACACGCAGACAAAGACTTGCTTTGGGCTAAAAGCTCTTCTTCCAGGTTCACTGTGGCTGTTGGCCAGGGCCTTTATTTCTTCTCCACGTGGCCCTCCCCTGAGTGTCACTTCGTTATTTTCAGGACACAGAAGCTGGCTTGTTGGAGAAAGTAAAGAGAGAACACAGAAGTCACACTTTGACCTTATTCTAGATATTAGCAATGAAACATTAAGTACAACCAACACAATAAGAGAAGAATTAGGCTTTTGAAAAGCATGAAAGAGTTTGAAAACCAGTACAGGGGTAGTGCGCCCCAGGGACACAGTGGCGAGGCGCTGAATCGCGCGTTCCTAGTTGACTCCGTTCCTCCTGATCTCACTCTCCCCACTCCTTCATCTCGGCTTATTTGTACAGCCTCCCAAATAAATGACCTGCATTCAAGTCTTTATCTCAGTTTCTGCATATGAAACATTCCAAAACCAAGACAGCTTAGCACTCTGAAATTTAAATACTCTCAAGATCAAAATTTAAAGCAAAACTTTATTGAAAATATATGAAATAATAGCTATAAAGAAGAACTCCTTTTGAGATTTGTATATTACCAACCACAGAGACAGTTGTGGTTATTATCACTTCCCTTTTATCTAAATTATTTTACATGTCCATATATAGTTTCAACAGCTATTTAGACAATATTCTGATTTGTAAAGTAATATCAAGAACGTTAGATTTATGTTAAATAATTGTCTTCAGAGAATATTCTCTTCTTAATTTGTATGTAACATTAAACTGATAATAGAATTACTCAAGATAAAGGTAAAAATGTTGAATTAAAAATGGCCTTTAGGATACATAATTTAGGCAATAGTAATAAAAGTACTTATTTTACATATTAAGTAAAATCCTATTTTATGTGATTTACTTAAGGCTATAATAAAATTAAATTACACATTTGAAACTACATACAATAATTTAGATTCTAATTTATCACCACTTCTGCAACAAATCAAACAAATGAGTTTAAAATACCTATGTTTTTTAAAGATTTAGAAGATATAATGAGATCAACTGAATAATTTGGAAAATAGTGAGGCGAGTAACATAATGTGATATCTTTAGAACAGATAATCAAGGCCCTTCTGGTCAGGTCATTGGATCTGCCTGCTCACTAGGATATTGCCAACTTATCAACCTGGTGTTCCTGTCGTGTTTCCCACAGAACTGGTAGTTTACAGTATCAAAATATCTATAAAATGCCAATGTTGTGAATCAATAGTCATTCACATGAATATAAGGAAACATGTTTGGATTCCATGACCTCGATCAGGTACATGATCATTTCCGTTCCAGTTTAATTATCTAACATATCATCCAGATCACAGAAGAGATCAGAGTACAGTGATAAGAGAGATATGAAAATAAGCCAAAATTCAACAAGGTGTGACTTTTTTGACTGAAATAGAATCAAATAAACAAGATTATGCAGAAGTTATGTTCACAGTGTGTAGATTCCTAGTTGGAGGCTACTTACTCATAACAAATTGTGATCAGTTACCAATAAAGGGTATGTCTAACATTCAGAGAAATAAACATCTTATATTTTGGTATATTCTAGAGCAAATGGATTTATGTACAGTTGTCACTAATCATTAAAAAGGAAGAAAATAGATTATAGAAGTTAACTGTGAAGGTTCTGAAAGTGTATGAAGTGACTAACATATGTGATACTTTTCAGCTGTTCTAATTTGAGAACTATTGGCTTTAGCAAAGCTCCTAATAATAAATAAACACTTTAGCTCCTGAGCATTTAAAGATGATATTTTTAATGCCGATGCTTTGAGACTGAAAAAAATACATTATAATGTGGTTCTTTAACAATTATTAAGCTACATCCTAAGTTATGCCATCAAATTCAGGCAAATGGAATATTAGAGACTGCAACTAAATTTTGTTTTAAAATGGAAAGTAAATGTTTCAAAGTCAAATAAAAGTTTAGTGAATGTGTGTGTGTTGATTAATTCTCAATTGTAGCACNAAAGTAAATGTTTCAAAGTCAAATAAAAGTTTAGTGAATGTGTGTGTGTTAATTCTCAATTGTAGCATTTCAACTAAAAAGAAAAAGATTTCTGAGTAGAATTGATTGTGTGGGATGGAAATTCAGTCTTCGAATACTACTTAGTCTTTCTCCAGTCATATGATACTAGATGTTATTTTTGTTTGTTTGTTTAATAAGTTGTCTGTAGACTTTCTTTGTTTTGCGCCTCATAATTTTACTTGATAAATGCCCCAAATGGCCATTTGGGGGACTACTTGAACAAGACCAATAAGAGACAGATTTTGCTTTACTATATTGAATAAAAAACAAGTAAATGGAAAAGAAATACCACAATGTTGGTCTTTGATCTAGAGGAGGGTTTGCAGGAAGAGCTCATGGAAGAGGTGGTGACTGTCAAGGATGGATACAAGAAACTATCTAGGCGAGGTGGTTAACAAAATAGCTACAAACCACATTAAATGATTCCATTTGCAATTTATCCCCAACAAGTGATAAAGCAGAATTTTCCAATTTGGATAATCATTTAAGGGTGACTCGTACCACCTACTAAGTGTTAACAAACTTTTGAATCAAGTACTCAAATGGAAGTATGATGTTGGATTTCTCTGAAGTTTTATTCTGAGTTCTAATTAAAACAAACTTGCTTTAAATGTTTTGTTCTTTAATTGCTATGCATCAGAATCAATTTGTGTTTTATGCCCCTTCCCCCAGTATTGTAGATCAAATCTGCGGTAAAAGCTCAACATGAGAGTTTCATGATTTAGCAGTGTCTTACTGATTTTTATTAAAGACTATTTTTTAACAGTTTTAGCTTCACAATACAATTGAGAGAAAGGTACAAAAATTTCCCATGTACCTCCTGCCCCCACGTATGCATAGAATTCCCCATTATTGGCATCACTCACCAGAATGGTACACTTGTTACCAAAATGAACCTACATTGATACAGCAAAATCACCCAGACTCTACAGTTGACCTTAAGGCTCACATTTGGTGTTGTACATTCTAAGGATTTTCACTGCCCTAAAAATCCTCTGTGCTCTGCCTTTTCATCATTCCCCTTCTCCCTCTCACCCCTGACAGCCAGTGATCTTTTTATTGTATTCATAGTTTTGCCTTTTCTAGAATGTCATATTGTTGAAATCATACAGATTTAGCCTTTTCAGATTAACTTCTTTCCTTAGTAACATTCATTTAAGATTTCTCCATGTCTTTTAAAAGTTTAATAACTCATTGCTTTTCAGCAGTGAGTAATATCCCATCCCATCATTGTAAATAGGCCTTTAGTGATATAGTAATGAAAAGAGGGGGGAGAGAACATGAGAGGAAGCACATGAACATGCTCACACATTAATGTCATTTCCTTTGTTTGTTTCCTAGAGGTGACAACAATTTACTACAAACTTGGTGGCTAAAAACAACAAATTTATTTGGTCACAGTTGTGAAATCAGAAATTCAAAGTCAAAGCATCAGCAAAGCCATACTCTCTCTGAAGGTGCTAAGGGAGAGCCCTACGTTTCCTCTTCCAGCTTCTAGAAGCTTCAGGCGCTCCTTAGCGTGAGGATGCATGACACCAACTTCTGCCTCCTCTTTTACATTGCCTGTGTGCCTCATCTTCTTATAAGGACACTTGTCTTTGGATTTAGGGCCAACCCAGTTAATTCAGGGTGATATCATCTCACAATCTTTAACTTAATTACATCTGCAAAGATCAGGTGGCTTTAACTTCATTGAAAATACTAGTGAATATCAGCTAACTTATCACATAAATCAACTGTAATAAATGACTACTTCTTGTGCTTAATTTTATTCTTAATTTGGTAAATATGACCTCTACAATATAGATTCATCTATTATTTTTCATTTTTCTTTCTTAGATGTCTTCCTAGATTTTCTGGTCAATCTTGTGAAATTAAGATAAATGAATATTTTTCATCACCATATCTAAATGGTGCAAACTGTGAAGATCACATCAATGGATATATTTGCAAATGTCAACAAGGTAATTATTGAAAAACAATATTCATGCATCTCATATATATGTGTGTGTATATATTTACTATATATATATATATATGTATGTATATGCATACATATAGTACAACTTTGACGATCCACTCCACCAATAATGTTTGCTATCAACCAAGTTCTAAGCAATAATCACACCTAGAAAATATGAAATAGATGTTCTGTGAACTAGTAAGCAATCACTTTGATTACCATCAGGAAATCCTAATGTTTAGAGTATGGTATCTCACTACATGTATTTTCTAAATTTATGCAGTCTTTATATTCCTGATTTTTATTATCTTTAATTATATAATGACATAAACAAGTTAATTGTCCAACACATCTTTTCCCCTACATTTCCTCTAGTTTTCTAACTTTGTTGCTTTTTTTTTAATCCTCACTTGAGGATATTTTTTCCATTGCAGAGAGAGTAGAAGTGAGAGAGAGAGAGAATAACATTAATTTGAGAGAGACACATCTATTGGTCGCCTCCTGCATATGCCCTGACAGGGGCCAGGGATCAAGCCTGCAACCAAGGTATGTGCCTTTACCTGAGACCCTTCAGTCCGAGGGCCAATGCTCCAACCACTGAGCAAAACTGGCTAGGGCCAACTATGTGGCCTTTGTCCTCTGTCTTCTGTCACTCATCTCATCTTCAACATTCAGTTGCAGCAATTGAGATAGAATGTTGAATGCCTGAATTTCCTTGAGCAGTAATAATCTGTCAGAAATATATGTGGGAGTATTTTTGGTCATTCAGAAAGAATTTTCACTACTTAAAGACACCACAGCAAACTTGAGACAGCTTGTGGATACCTCAAGTTCTGGGCTTCTGGTCATTTGGATCCCCTGAGGGAATAACAACTAGGCAGTCTGGAGGCACAGATATATATATATTACTTTCCTCCCACCTTTTAAGTTCTTTTGGCTTGGCTGATCATCAAATTAACCAGACAGATTAACAGGAGAAAATGTCTAAGACATTTATTATTACACATGTATATGCCACAGGTGTCATAAGATATGAGATCAGAAGCCCATTGGGCAGTTGAGGCTTATAGGCCATTCTGGTCAAAGGAGAAGAAACCAGGGGTCTGGAATTCCAAACAAGTAGGTAATTTACAGGTACAAGACAGAGAAAACACGTGGTAACAGATTCTTGCTGTGCCATTCAGGAACAGTGGGACACAGAGCACAGGCTTTGCTAGATTTCTTCCTGACACATATGTGCTCATTCATATGTGCACATGCTAAGGTTCCCTTCCTGAAGCAGGTTTTTCTATCTGAATTCCTTCAGGAAGGAAAGGGTAAAGGTCAAAAATTCTTTCTGAGTCTTTTATTTCTTAATAACCGGCTTAAAATCAATATCTCAAAAGACACATTTTGGGGTGGCAATACTTTGGTTCCCTTCATCAGATACATGGATATTAGGGCTCCTATTTTTTATATGATGTTGCACACATGTTTTATCATTTGAGTGCCAGCATCATGCTGTTTACAAGTTCACATTCACTCAACATTCACAACTCAATACCGATACTAGGTTTTATTTGGTCAGACAGGTTATCAAAAGGCATTTGCACCTGCATTTTGAAATAGCCACCTATATGTAAAACTGCAACTGTTGCAGATAAAAGAAGTAGAATAGAAATTAAAGTTCTCTGACATAAGAAATAAATGCCTTTTCAAAAGGTATTTGAAGCATATGTTTTTATTGAGGTCTGAACACTTAAAATGCAATGAAATCTACCATAAGCAACGAGTGCAGGGTGGGGCAAAAGTAAGTTTATAGTTACGAGTGTTTGAAACCCAGAGTTTATTCTTATATTTTTGTTCCCTAATTATTGTATTATTTACTTTATTACTGCTGTAAACCTACTTTTGCCCCACCCTGTATATTCCTACCAAAACAATAAAAACACAGGCATATCCGTAATTTTCACTGTCAATATATATCTTATAATTGCTAGTTTCATATTTATGTTATTATATTTACAATACTAGATTACTCTTGACCCACTTATTTTAAATTCAGTTGGAAGCACGGAGCCATTTTGAAGCAGTTGCAGCGTTCAGATGAAGCCCCTTCTGAGTGCTGCCCATCAGTCCTTGGTGGAAATGAAAGGCCTCAAAAATGATGCCCATCTAAGGTAAGGATAGTGGCAAGATTTAGATCGGAGCCCAAGTGTTGTTAGGCGTTACTTAGAACTTTCTGGTATTTTTGAATTAAGACTTAGATTTTTCACAACCTAGTCACAAGAGCAACAACCAATTAAGAAACAAACAAAAACAAAAAACAAATGCTTTGAAAATGTTGCAGGCACCCTTCCAGACCTGCTCCCAGGGGCTCTGTGCAGCCACGGCTCTTAATCATGCCAACAAATACTCCCTCTGGAGTTGTTTAAGGAATGATCGTGCTCTTGTAGGTTACCCTTTATCCCTTCCTCACTTTCTTTATTAGCATAGTTAGCCATATTTTTTCAGGATTTTTAAAATTCATACTGTAAAATTCATTCTCTGGCACAAAGTTGTATATTTTGACAAATGCATAAAAAATTGTGTAACTACCCCACAGTCAGTCATTTAACCACTTTCCCCAAGCTGTACCCATGCTACCCCTTTGTAGGTAATCTTTTCCTCATCACCAACATACATCAATATTTATATAATTCTAATTTTTTCTTTACCAGTTTTGTCCTTGAAAATTCTACCTGTTGTTTAGTAGTTCTTTCTCTTGTGTTCTGAACTTTAGATTTTGAAAGCCAAATGTGGGCTAACTTCAGCATAGATGTGTTTGGGAAATAATAATTATAATAAAGATAACTATACTAGTGCATGGACACCATGCTATTTTACATGTATGGACTCATTTCATTTTCATAACAACCTTGTGGAAAAGGTAGTTATCTCATTTTACCAATGAGGATCAGGAGTCCCAGAGTCTTTGGATAATCTTCCAGAGCATATTATGTAAAACTTAGATTTATAACCAGGCTATCTGGCCTAGTACTATATAGTCATCATTTGTATGTTGTCCAAAGAAGGGCCTTCACTGAATAGCAACTTTCCATAAAGTTGCTATTAGACTAGATGAGTTAGACTAGATGAGTAAGTTCTGGAGATCTGCTGTACACCATTGTGCCTATAGTTAATAATACCGTATTATACATTTAAAAATTTATAAAAAGAATAGATATCATGTTAAATGTTACTAGAAAAGAAAAATTGATAACCATTAAAAAAGCAAAGACTTTGCCAACAAAATCTATCAGTGTGTTGCATCTTAGTCTGGATGTTACCAATTCTAACCACTGTGAGACTTTTTCAAGACGGTTTCCTATCCGGATCTGTCTGATAATGTCCTAAAAAGTTTCCATAAGCAAAAACGGAAGGTCACCACTTTGTGAGCAATCTATAGCAATTTGCCTTCTCCCAAATGTCATAGAAAGGCACAAAGGCTGATTCATTTGGTTTATGCATGTCCGCTCTTTTCTCTCATCCAGGAGTATACCAGCCTTAATTAATGTTGATAATTCTTTCTTGGGCTCTGATCTAAATCTTGCCACTATCCTTACCTTACTCAGTCTGGATCGAAATCTAATTTCACTAGGTATTTACTCCTGTCTTGAAATTAGTTAAGTATTATAAATTATAGTCATTTTCTATTTTTATCAGTTGTGGAAATCTTCCTTAAGTTCACATCATGTTGCCAATTATCAGAATGATCTTGTCTTTATGTAACAACTCTTCCTCCATAGTCTTAATCTTGAGTGGCTCCTTTACTGTGCCTCAAGATTTGCAATTTTATCTTTTTTCTCTCTTCTCTCTTCTTTTTAGTCCAAACAGAACTGGATGACTCCTGCAATATTCTGAAAAGAACACAATTTAAGAAATTAAATGTCAGCTTCCTCACCGGTTATATATCTACAAAACACAGCTGAAATTTAAACTGGATATAAGTAGGCTAGAAGATACTCTGTATCATATTTAATTTGGTACAATCAAATACAAGGAGTTGTATTCTAATGTGTCCCCACAAATTGTTCAGCACATATTGAAAACGTACAGTCCATTAGTGATGCTGGCCAAAGTTCTGTAATCACAGGCACGGCCATAGTTAGCATAAAGCCATCCCCCTCTTCATAAGCAGACAAATTAGATGGTTATGTCGTTTCCTCCAAGCTAACGAGGTACGATGCTGGACAAGTGGGGCACATGTCGGATCTCAGAGCCCACTGATCCTCTCTGCATGAGACCTTCCTGCAGGGTACAACCCAGCGTTCGGGTCAGTCCTAATTACAGAGCTCGTCCCCCACCTGTGCAGTGAATTCAATGGCTGCTGAACTTGTTTCCATTGAAATATCAGGACAAGCATTCAGATCATTTTACAAACTAAAATGCACTTTTGTTTTAGCCCAAACAGTTTCATTTATAGTGTTATATTAAAATGTTTAACGCTCAGTAAGTGAAACCATGGTTTATCCCATTATGAGCAAATTGAAAGTGAAGAGAACAATCTCTGTTCTGCAAATGGGAGTGCTTCACCCAGGGTTGTTTTCAATCCCTGGAGCAGCCACTGCGCCCACGGTTTATACTCAGGAGGGGTGGAATAGTGTTTATATAGGTGATAATATAAACTGCAGATACACATTTTGCTCTTAAAATAACATTATTCATTTTGAAGCAGAAATGCTACATTTTCCTGGGGGCAAGGAAGCAGATAAACAAACACTGATGATATCTGCCACGAGTGCTACAATTATGAAGTCATGGATAGGGCTTTTGTAATTTAGAACAGAAAAGATACAGACTGATTTTTCTTTTTATTCAAGACCCATGAAAAGTGAAATAATCTTTAATGTGAAATAAAAAGAGTGCATAATAATGTATTTTCATGAAGATTTAGGTGTAAAAATCAATTCTTCTATCTATTCTAGAGTTAAAATAAGCCAATAAAATAATTTTAATTCACGTTATCCAATTACCAGATAATATATTAACAAGCAAGGCAATTATTTTAGGTTTAGGTCTAATTTTATTTTACTTTCCTCAGATTAGAAGCGAATAACTTGGTGCTAAGAGGGAAAATGAAAGAAAAGTTAAATATATAACTCTTTGAAATAGTGGCTTTTATTTTTCTTAATAAACTCAAATTATTATAGCTGCTATGTTATGGTAGGAAATGGTTGTATTAAAACTTGTCAGTGTTTCTAGTTACGTATATTGATGTATTTAAAGATTTATTTTAATTACCAACTTAAAAATTAGTCTAATTTGTTATTTTTATTATAATTTGACATCTAAAGGCTTATTTCACACCTGTATTGTCATCGTTTACTCCGTAAGCATTTATTTTCCATAAGCAGGTATTAGATTAGTACTATAAATTTAACGTGATAACAATTTAATCATTTTTCTAGATTGCTAATGAAAAGTTTTGGTTTATTGATTTTAATACCAAAAAGTATTTTTAATTATCTTGTTACTTTATTACAAATGGAAATCAAACCTACAGGGAACTCAAAGGATGTTTTCTTTATCTTTGCTTCTGAAACTTTTTTTAAAAAAATATCTCACCTGCTGGATTTTCAGTGTCTGTTTTATATTCCTTTACTCTGTTCCCATTTCTTATCATCACCTTGTCCACACCAGTACAAGGACATTTATCTTATTTATTTTATGGGTGTGATTGGCCCTCGGCATTCATTCCTGTCTATTGTGGTTTCTGTACTGCAGAGGAAAGAAAATTGTAAAAAACTACAACATCTAGACTCCCTTGTAGCTGACGTTGTGAATATAAATTGAGTTCCACCAATAATAAACATACCTGACATCTGGAAGGCCTGGTGGAGGCCATTTATGAATGCGTTAGCGATTTCACCTGGTGAAGGTGGTCATGGACATGTAGAATTTTCTGCAGCAGATTTCACTGTTGAGTCACTGACTTTGTACTAAAGAGCAGTGGTGGCAGGAGGGGTGGACAGACTGCAAGCCTGTGTTCAGCCACTGGCCTCAGAGTAGGAAGAGGCAGGTGGGGAAGTTGTGGTGGCAGCTTCTGGAAATGCAGCTTCCCTCAGCGAATGCAATGGGTCCTGGAACTCAGTAATTCTAGTGGTGGCTTTTAGGTTTTTTACCTGACTGAGGAGGTCTCTCCCAGAGTCATATCTGTGGTCTTGGAGTTACTCCCAGAGCCCTTTCTTCTAATAATCTTGTAAGCATCTTAATTTATTCCCTGTTATTAAGGCCCTTTTTGTCTTAAATACCTAAAGTGGTTTCTGCTTTCTGTGCTAAATGATGACTTATTTTCTATCCCAGCTTGTTGTTTTTGCCCAAGACAGCTTTAATGTTTCCTTAAGCTTAATGTAACCTTAGCCAGGCTTCTTCTTGACTCCAGGCCCCTGACCTCCCTTTCTTTAGAGCATTTAATTTAGAAAATTGCAGTTGTAATTTCTTTCTCTGCCCCTTTGAGATGTAAACCTTCTTGCCATCTCTTGGCAATTTTGAAACCCAGAAATGTCTTTCTCAAGGAACTGGGGCCATCCCTTTGAAATGTGATCATAAGAGAGAGTGCCCCCATTTTCCAGTCTCCGTGGGAGGGTAGAAGCCTAATGTCAATAAGTGATAAGTAGCAGAGATGCTCTAAATCACATTAACCAACCTCTCCCATCCCAATATCCTCTAGTATTTTTCCATGAGCTCACCCCAGCATTTAAATATCCCCCCACTTACCTTTGGTTAAGTGTAGTTGAGTTCAGTCTCTCTCTCCTATTTCAATAGCCTCTCTCTCTCTTCGTACAATACTCTTGAATAATATATTCCTTGTCTTTTTAAATGTCGGATGAATTTTTTTCTTTCGCAGTTCCCATTTTATGGTTTAAAGTTTTGTAATGCCCTTTATAGTTTTAGAAACAAGAGGAAAACTACATTATTATTTTTAATTGTTTAAAATGTATTGTAAAGTATTTTTTTCAATCAAAAGAATATACAATTAATGTAAATGTATTATTTAAAATAATAAAATGAGCCTTTGTGCAGCTACCATTTGCCTGAAGGAATATCATCAATAATTATAGGCTCCTCTATATCCCTCATTAAGCACATTATTATCCCTCCCCCGTACTAACTATTCTGAATTTTATAGTCAACATCCTCTTACCATCCCTTAGAGTTTTATTATATATGTATCTCTAAATGATGTAATTAAATTTGTATGTATTTGACTTTTATAAGAACACTTACCAGAATGGATTTTTATGGAATATGCTTTTATATTCAACAATATGTTTGTGACATTCAACCAGGTTAATGACCAGTCATCGTGACTTTTTATAAGCCCTGCAAAACTGTTGCTTCTGTCATACCTTTTATAGCCTCCATAGTAGCGGTGGCTACAGAATCAGCTTGGCATATGAGAGCACTGCAAAGTGGAGAGTCTTGGCCAAGGGTTTGGCAAATTTAGTCTTCTGGCAGATGCTTTGAAGTTTGATTTGGACTCTGCCAAGTCTTTTAAACTTGTTCTGTATTTTTCTTCTTATAACACATTATTGAATTAAATAGTTTTCTAAGCACCTCGGAATACTTATTTAATTGTTCTCTTTCAATCTATCAAGGAAAAACAATGAGAATATATTGCTAAGTAGGACCAAGATAAGACATTTCCTGATAGCCAGAGTTCAGATTAAATGCTATTAGATAATACATATAATACATATTTTAATGTTGCAATTATAGTACACATAAGTAGTCGGTGAGTAGGGACAGCAGCCTCTAAGTGTCTCTGTTGTTCCTACATAGAATGGTATATTTAGGTATATTCAGGTTAACATTGTCTTAAACATATTAAGATTCATTATAAATAGTTGCCTCATAGAAGAAATCAGTGGTTTAAAAAAATATTCTTAATGTATATGCAGTAAACCATCACTCAGATATTATCTTGTCAATAGGTTAGCAACGTTGTTTTCTGGGTTCATGAAGAAATGCTGGCCAAAGCCAAACAAAGGATACACACACAGTGTTTTAGTATGGAAAAGTAGATCATGATGTTTAAAGAGAATTCTTGCAGCCAATGGTCAGCTAAACCTATACATAATATTTATAGTCTATAGAACCACTGCTTAAGAGATACTAACTGTAAAATACTACAAGTATAACAAGAAAATATTTTATATCTAGAAACTGTAGTGATAGCTTTCCTTTGAATTTAAGAATCTTATGAAAGAAGCATGAGGTGCATTTATTCCATTGCCTTCTATGTATTTATTCCAAAGTAAAATATGTGATGACATTTGAATGGTAATGTAGAATGGCACCATAGGTACAAGCCTAAACTTTATTTCACATACACTTACTTTCATTTCTGCATAACTGTGTGACTTCAGGGCAAATTATTTATCTTCTCGAAGTTTAATTTTCTGATCAATTTGATAGAGATAGTAATAATAGCTACCAAATAGAATGATTATAAAGATTAACTGACAATTCACAAAGATGACCTAACACAATTATAACAAATATTAAGATGTACTATATATTTTTATATTATAAAATTATAAATGTAACATATATGTATAAATATATAAATATTATAACACATATGTATATGTTATACATATATACACACATATATACCTATGTAAGCTATCCTTATTATTATTAAAAATTAAATGTCTGCTTTGTGATTGTCTTTAACAGGATGGTCAGGACATCGCTGTGAGAAGAGTCTTGAGTGCATTCCCAACTCATGTGTTCATGAAATATGCATAAAAAATGAACCTGGCTTTGACTCGGCATGTTTATGCATACCCAAATTTGTGGTAAAGATATCATTGTTTTTTGCTGTGAAGTTTTTACATTGTCTTTGAAATACTGTAAGTAGTAGAATATTGTATGGTGAAAGATAAGTTTGGAGGGGTTAACTTAGTGCTCTTTTCCTTCTCTGTCTGTACACACTACACTTTTCTTAGCATTCCCCTTTCCCTTCTTGTCCATCTATCACATGCACCCTCAGCCCTTCAAGAGAAAAGCATTCTTATAAATTGATCTAAACTAAGGTGCAAGTGACTTAATGTATTGTCCTTTAATGTTTTAATGCATTTGGAAGGAGGATGCCAGTAGAGGAATTACTTAATATTGTCAGGGTCTTGGCAGAACCTCTATTTTGCCCAAGGACATAGCACTGCTTCCAGTGTTGGACTCAGAGTATTGTGTGTTCAAGGACAATGAATCTGCTTCCTTGGCAAATCTGGACTGGCCTGGACTCCATTAACAATGGAATAGACTTAGCTTGGTAGAAGTGTCCCTAATGAGCTGCAATTCTTTTGACCACAATTTTTTATTGGAGCTGACCGTAGCACATGAGGATAGTAAGGGAATACAACTGGCAAGACTGTGCTGTCAGGAATTTTAAATATATTTATAAATGTCATTAATTGATAGGCCAGTCTCAGCTGGGATTAAAGCTAAATAATTAGACAGGGTATACAGTCAGGTGACTCAGAGCAAGATTAGGGAACCAGACTTCAAGGGAAGGTGAGGTCTGGCCAGTGCCTAAGAAAGATGCTCATGTATGAATGGAGCCAGACATTCCTCAGAGCTGGAAGATCAGGAAGGAGAGGTCAGAAGCAAGACTCTCTAGAGGTCGCTGAGAAATTAAACAGAAAAATGGTCAATGCCTGTCCTCTAAACAAAATAATTTGAGAAAGCCTGGGCTTAAGTCAGATACTCTTTCCTATTGAAGGGTATTCCCAAGGCTCCTCTCTCTGAAGAAACAGAACTACCATCTTTGTCATCTTTCTTTCTCTTATTGTCCTCTGATCTGGCTTTCCCTCGGGGAAAGGTTTTTCCCTTAGTGATCTTAGAGAATTGACCTTTGAGAAAGAATTTCAGGCACTCTGACACCTGAGGGTAGGAGGTATTTGGTGCAAAGAAATAATTTTATGACACCTCAGAATACACAATAATGGCTTCCTTAAAGTATTAGAAGAAAAAAACGGCAACGGTGAAATATAGGCTTTACTTAGCTATATTCTACTGCCAATGAAACCCAATATATAAAAATGTAAATAATTAGATTTATAATAATTATAAATAAATGGTAATTTTTTAGAAATTCTTTTCTTAAACACAAAGAATTTACTGCCAAATATCCTTAAAATGCCTTTAAATAGTTAATCCCCCAGGATATGTTCTTTTATATTAAAATACATGTCAATTAACACTTTAATTACCTCTTTTAATAAAAACATCAAATCTGAAGAATAAATCCATTAGTATAAGTTAAAAATGTAAAAATCCTGAAAACATAATTTTATAAAACCACAAGTCTACTAAATAAAGAGTAGTGTTAGAGATGTACTATATATTTCAGTAAAACATTTAATTAATTTTATAGGTTAATTAATTATAAATTAATTTTAAATTTATATTCTTATAGCCACTCTCTCGAGTACTGGAAAGCTAAAATACAAATGCTTACTGTCATAAGAGACAGTGTATGGGTAAAAAGCTACAAAGTGGTAAGGGGATTCCACTTTTATGAATGCATTGGTTATGTTCTAAAATGAGTAAAGGTGGAGAAAATTTAGTTTATTGAAAAAGAATGTAACATTTACATGTTATGCACATCAATATTATAGCAGTATACAGACATTTTAAATTAAATATATCCTGGAAAATAGCATGTAAATTATTAATTGGACTAGGAAGCTAAATATTTTGCTTAAATATAACAAAACCAAGAAGGTCTTTAATATCTTTGCTTGCATGCTAGAAATATTAATATGAAATTAGAGTCATGGATATTGAAATAAAGGAATAGAATGACAAACTATTTTGAAAACAGGTTTGGCAAATGTATAACATCACTGAAAAATTGCTTTTTAGATTTCTTTTCTCCCTCCTGCCCCCAACTAATACTGTGAATGAATGATATATAAAATAATACGAATCACAATTATGGTGAAATGTCACCATAATTTTAAAATGATGTCACTCACAGAAATATACAGAATTTGAGAGAGGCTTAAGAAACAAAGCAATTAGAAGGATTACAGACAGGTAAATTGAGCTGCTTTAGGATTAAGTGTGCATGTTGAGTCTAATTGAAGGTGAAAACAGTGGCCATGGGGAAGAATTGACAACTTCCTGAAGGGGTGAGTCATGGCATTCTAGCGACAGAATACATGGGAGGAAATTAAATATTGCACATTGCATTGTTATCGTAATCCAGTATAATTTTTGCATATTTGCATATTGCTCTGTCTATTCTGATATATTGTGAGCTCCTGAAGAGCAGGGGATGATTGTAGTATTTCTAAGAGCACAGAATATAAAACATATGTTTTGATTTTGGTCACCTTTATTGAGGTTGTTGTATTGAAGTCCTTAGCACATAATTATAGTTATTTTAAATTCCTAGTCTGATAATTGCAAAATTTCTGCCGTATCTGAGTCCGATTTGGGTGCTTTCTCTGTCTCTTCAAACTCTGTTTTCTGTCTTTTAGTATGCCTTGTAATTTTATGTATATATATAGGCAGACATCATGTGCTGTATAAAAGTAATTGAAATAAATAGGCCTTTAGCATGAGACTATTTTTATCTGGCGAGGAGCCAGGCCGTGTTTACTGTTTGTTCTGCCTCTAGGTATGAGGCTAAAATTTCCTCTGATATCTTTGTTTTTGTCTCTCTTGTAATCATGGGATATCATTAGAAACTTCTTAAGTAGATCTAAGATGTGCAATTCTTTCCATTGTAACCCCATGTTGTTATTGATGTGGCTAAGAAAAGATTGTTTCCATGATGTGAGGAAGATAGAGCTTTAAATAGTGCTGTGAGCAGGTCTCGGTGTTTCAGAGAGCCTGTACCTCACCTCTGGGCTCTGACCTTGACCTGGACTCCTCAGCCTCCTTGACCTTCGATGCAACGAGGGGCTTCAAGAGGCTGGAGTCGGGTATTTCCTTTCTCCCAGATCAATTAGACTCTGGTAAAATTATTTCCCTGGAGGTCAGTCCTTGTTAAGAACACAATTCTCTAGAGTATTTCAAATGGCTATTCTCTCCCTATTCACAGCACAAAGTCAATTTTTCTCCTATCTGCACTGTGAGAACCTGCTAGAACTCCTGGAGGTAAAACTTAGGAAAGCGTGGGAAACCCTCTTAGATGGAGCCCCACCTGGAGGTTTCCTCTCAAGCATGTCCTCATCCGTCCGCCAGCATTTTATCAGAGTTATTTTTCTTACCCTGGTACTGGCTCCAGCAGTGGTTTCTGTTCCTGAGTTTCTGCTCTGGTGATTTTCTGTATTTGTCTGACTCTTCACAATTTAGGGGTGGGGAACAATTTGCCCCATAACCTCAGTTCTCTGACACATCTTAAAAGAATGGTTGATTTACAGTTTGTTCGGCTTTTTATGTTTTTGAGGGAAGGAGTGGTGACTTCCATGCTTCTTACATGCTGGGCTAAAAACCAAGGGTCTTGTGATGCTTTTAAGTGTGAGAGGACCTATAAATATACTAAATAAAAAAAGAGGTGAATTTTCCTTTATTCATAAATTTAATGTGTCTTTTAAAAAACAGATTTCCTGCCCGGCCGGGCGTGGCTCAGTGGTTGAGCATCGACCTAGGATCCAGGAGATCGGGGTTCGATTCCTGGTCAGGGCACATGCCCGGGTTTCAGGCTCGATCAATGACTCTCTCATCATTGATGTTTCTATCTCTGTCTCTCCCTCTCCTTTCCTCTCTCTGAAATCAATAAAGATATATTTTAAAAAACAAACAAACAAAAACAAACACAGATTTCCTTATTTTAATTAGGCTTCCCAGGTATCTCATCTGGAATGATATATTTTTTAGAGTTGCTAGAGAATTGCTTAAAAGGTGCCAATTTAGCTGGTAGTCAATTCACTAGCATGCAGAAAATTTAAAAATTATAACATTTTTTGCACGCAGAAGTATACCAGATGATATGATGTTACATATAACCTATGTTAAAGGACATTAATATATATCAAATTATTGGTAATATGCAGCTGTTGGATTTCTGATTATATTGAAACAATATAAACCATTAAGCTTTTTATGAAAATAATTGGTAGCAATTCTCTTAACATTAAGTCTATTTAAGTCAACCTAAACTCTCTGACATTTTTCTTCTTCAAATTGCTCTTCAGAAAGATGCCACATCCTCTCTATATTCCTTCTATTTAGTCTTCTTTTAAAACTCTCACTAATTACATTGCCATATAAAAATGTTAGCTAAGCTGCATGTTTATGAGATTAGAGAAAATTAATATGACTACAATTATTATTTCTTTGATAATGGAAAGTAACTTGAGAAGTGAACAGCCCCTTGGATAGGGGAATGACAATCTATTTTTTCCCCTTGAGAATTAATTGTTGGTAGATAATGTAAAACCTGAATTCTCAGGTTTTCTTAATGTTTAGAGTTGTGATAATCTTTGACAAACTGATAATTAGTGTGGATTATTCTTGTTAGCAGATCCCATTGCAAAAGTGAATCAAAACATTACAGTACTTACATTGTTCTGAAATCCAAATGCTCTGTAAAGGAATTTAGTGACAGAACGTAATTTATTTAATGTCTTAGACTTGCTAAAATTCAAGATAAATGATCTCCCTCTTTTTAACTTGATCAGCACTGCCCATTCTTTCCTCAGTAAATGAATTTTTACCAAACAAGATTGATCCTTACATTAAGTGATGATTGTTAATGTATCTTGCTTAATGAATTTTGAAAATGATAGCAGTCAATAAAGTGTCAGTTGCATTCTTTAAAATAAAACACAGATCTTTATGTAAT